TCTTTGAAATATTTCAGCATATGATAATCATTGGAGTGACAGATTTATTTGAAAATTTACTGTTTTCTGATTGAAATATAGGGGAAGTCCATTGGGGTAACCCCTACCCCCCTTTTTTTTGATAACTTGTAAACGGTCAAGATTCCCACCCAGAAACCATATATATTCTTGTATGGGACAATATATCAAATCAAATGAAATATAGGGGAAGTCCACGGGGGTAAACCCTACCCCCTTCTTTTTGAAAACTTGTAAACGGTTGAGATCCCCACCCCTAAACCATATATGTACTTGTATGGGACAATAAAATAAAGCAAATTAAATTTAGGGGAAGTCCCCTGGGGCTAATCCCTACTCTCCTTTTTTTGAGAACTTGTAAATGGTCAAGATCCCAACCGCGAAACCATATATGTTCTTGTATGTTACAATAAAACAAATGAAATGAAATAAAAGGTGAGTTCCTTGGGGTCATTCCCACCTTCTTCCTGTTTAAGAACTTGTAAATGGTTGAGATCCCCGCCCCTAAACCATATATATCCTTGTATGGGACAAAAAAACAAATCAAATCAAATAAAGGGCAGGTCCCCTGGGAAAATTTATCAGTTTTTGTGTGTTATATTTGAACATAAATTAAATATATATAGGGTTCTTTAAGTGCTGAATCTAAACTTGTTTTTAATTAGATAATAATCTATTTTTATTATGAGATAAAGTTTTTGACATTGATAAGTTGCAGATCTGTATTATTTTTTGACACATGAAAGAAACAATATTAACCACTATTAATTAAATTTGATTATAATATATATGGAAATAGATATAACATGATATCTGATTTTAGAGAAGTATTTTGCTGGTTTTTTATTGGTTTATGTAAATAAGTTTGAGTTATTTGTTTTGAAAAATGATGTGTTTAATTGATAGATATAAAATCATATCTAATTTTAGAGATTTATGAGTGGTTAAGTCATATCTAATTTTAGAGAATTATTTTGGTGTTTTGTTACTGGTGGTAACCCCCACCCCCTTCTTTTTGATAACCTGTAAACGGTCGTGATCCCCACCCCTGAACCATACATATTCTTGAATGGGACATTAAAACAAATCAAATGAAATTGAGGGGAAGTCCCCTGGGGTAACCCCAACCCCCCTTCTTTTTGAAAACTTGTAAATGGTCGAGATCCCCACCCTGAAACCATATATATTTTTGTATGGGACAATAAATCAAATCAAATGAAATATAGAAGAAGTCCATTGGGGTAACCCCCACCCCCCTTCTTTTTGAGTACTTGGGACAATAAAACTAATCAAATGAAGGAAAAGGCCATTCCCCTGGGGTCACCCCAACCCCCTCCTGTTTGAGTACTTGTAAACAGTCGAGATCCCCACCCCTAAACCATATATATTCTTGTATGGGACAATAACACAAATCAAATGAAAATATAGGGGAAGTCCATGGGTGTAACCCCCACCCCCTTCTTTTTGAGAACTTGTAAACAGTCAAGATCCCCACCCCGAAACCATATATATTCTTGTATGGGACAATAATTCAAATCAAATGAAATATAGAAGAAGTCCATGGGGGTAACCCCCATACCCCTTCTTTTTGATAACTTGTAAACAGTCGAGATCCCCACCCCTAAACCATATATATTCTTGAATGGGACAATAAAACAAATCAAATGAAATTGAGGGGAAGTCCCCTGGGGAAACCCCCACCCCCCTTTTTTTTGAAAACTTGTTAACAATCATGATCCCCACCTCGAAACCATATATTTTCTTGTATGGGACAATAAAACAAATCAAATGAAATATAGGGGAAGTCTAGAGGGGTCACCCCCAACCCCCTTTTTTGGAAAACTTGTAAACAGTCAAGATCCCCACCCCGAAACCATATATATTCTAGTATGGGACAATAAAACAAATCAAATGAAGTAAAAGGCGAGTCCCCTGGGGTCACCCCACCCCCTCCTGTTTGAGAACTTGTAAATGGTCGAGATCCCCACCCCTAATCCATATATATTCTTGTCTGGGACAATAAAACAAATCAAATGAAATATAGGGGAAGTCCATGGGTGTAACCCCCACCCCCTTCTTTTTGAGAACTTGTAAACAGTCAAGATCCCCACCCCGAAACCATATATATTCTTGTATGGGACAATAATTCAAATCAAATAAAATATAGAAGAAGTCCATGGGGGTAACCCCCACCCCCCTCCTTTTTGATAACTTGTAAACAGTCGAGATCCCCACCCCTAAACCATATATATTCTTGAATGGGACAATAAAACAAATCAAATGAAATTGAGGGGAAGTCCCCTGGGGAAACCCCCACCCCCCCTTTTTTTTTGAAAACTTGTTAACAATCAAGATCCCCACCTCGAAACCATATATTTTCTTGTATGGGACAATAAAACAAATCAAATGAAATATAGGGGAAGTCTAGAGGGGTCACCCCCAACCCCCTTTTTTGGAAAACTTGTAAACAGTCAAGATCCCCACCCCGAAACCATATATATTCTAGTATGGGACAATAAAACAAATCAAATGAAGTAAAAGGCGAGTCCCCTGGGGTCACCCCACCCCCTCCTGTTTGAGAACTTGTAAATGGTCGAGATCCCCACCCCTAATCCATATATATTCTTGTATGGGACAATAAAACAAATCAAATGAAATATAGGGAAAGTCCATGGGGGTAACCCCCACCCCCCTTCTTTTTGATAACTTGTAAACAGTCGAGATCCCCACCCCTAAACCATATATATTCTTGAATGGGACAATAAAACAAATCAAATGAAATTGAGGGAAAGTCCCCTGGGGTAACCCCCACCCCCCCTTCTTTTTGAAAACTTGTAAATGGTCAAGATCCCCAACCCGATACCATATATATTCTTGTATGAGACAATAAAACAAATCAAATGCATAAAAGATAAAATAAATGGGGAATGTGTCCATAGGGACTCAGATGATGTCCCCGCTAGCATATAACGTTATAAAGGGACATAACTCACTAACTGTATAAGTGACGCTACCAAAATTTGAACTTAAACTGAGTTTTGTGGTAATAAGCATTATATATACATTTCATAACATTTAGTTGAGACAAACTGAAGTTGGAAACAAAAAATTCAGCAACTTTTCTATTTGTAAAAAAAACAAAACTTTTGAACGGTAAAAGTGACACCACCAAAACTCAAACTCAATCTGTGTTTTGTGGTAATGAGCATTGTGTATAAGTTTCATATCATTTGGTTGAGTCAAACTGAAGTGGGAGAACGGAACAAAAAATTCAGCATTTTTTTTCATTTGTAAAGGAGCATAACTCTTGAATGGTAAAAGTGATGCCACCAAAATTCAAACTTGTCTTGTGTTTTGTGGTAATAAGCATTGTGTTCAAGTTTCATAACATTTGGTTGAGGCAAACTAAAGTTAGAAAACCGAAACCAATTTTGGGACGTACGTACGTACAGACAGACAAGGGTAAAACTTAATGCCCCCCTCAACTGCAGCAGGGGCAATAAAAAAATTCAGAGCAGAAATAATTATGAGGACAAGATTCACAAAATAATCACCAAAACAAAATCTTCAGATATTTTTTTTAATATTCAAAAGAAAATGTTTGGTTTTTTTGGGGGGAAAACTCAGAAGTACTCCATTTAAATGTTATTGCCACTGAATTTTAATCAAACAAGTAACCATGGTAACTACATTTGGATACTGTTTTGGGTATCATACTTTGATATTTTTATATTTTACATCAGATTTTAGTAAATTTAATTCTAAGTAATTAATGAGTAGTTTCTAGTCATGCATCAGTGGTTTTATTTATTGTAAGACTTCTTTCTTCATGGCTCAGTGAATTTTGATCCATTGAGTATTAGTTTACTCTCTAGGTTTAACTAGTTTGTGCTATGAAAACTCTATCTCCATTATGATAATTGGTTCATTAAGTCATGTGTCGATTTAGGAGGGAAATTCTTTTGTTTACTTATATTTTGAACTGATTGGAGCTGTGCTGTTCCTTATATAATTTTATTCAAATTTGATGGACATCTTTGATTTTTTTTCAAATAAGGTCAGTGTTCCATAATTAATACCTCACATGCCTTCTAATATACTGATATGAATGTATTACATTAATGATTTTGTATGAATGGTCAAAATGAATGATTTCAGAATAAAAGGTTCAAATGAATGATTTCAGAATAAAAGGTTCAAATGAAAGATTATTATGAAACACAAAAGCACATATTTATAAAATATTGGTTCAATCAGATAAGTCTAAATAATCATTTTATAAGAATTTATGCCAAACAATATTTGAATATCTCGGTTATTGCCAAAAAAATTAAAAGTAATTATGTATTGGACCCCCCCCCCTTTTTTTTGGACATTTAATGTAAATGAATGGGGACATATGGTTGGAAAGCCCCTCCCCCTTTTTATCCTGGGTTGGGACCCCCCTCCCCCCTTTTGAAATTGCTGGATCCGCCCCTGGAAACATTATAGCTTAAAGAAACTTCAAATTGCAAAAATGATCAACAAGACAATATCTACAAACAAGTCAAACTTGAACGAAATTTAAAACTACTCATTATTAGAGTTATTGACTGTTTAATGATGACTTTTATCATTTTTTTTCCTTTTCTGAAAAACAATAATAATAATTTACATTTAACTATTATAGATAGAAAGCCACTTTAATAGCAAAAATGATCAGCAAGACAAGATCTACAAATATGTCAAATTTTGCCAAAATTGTAATTGCCCTTATATGACAAGTTTGCACAAACCAACACACTCCCTAGAGCCATCTCGTTGATATTGTCATCTTAAATGAACAGAGTTATCTTTCTTTGTACTGATTATTAATATTGCAGGGTCAGTATCTGATGTGTTTATTTTTATTATACTACCACAACTACTCAGTTTTGTATAAATATTCTAAAAATAATATGCCTATTTGTTTATCCTAATTGACATGTTTTTATGTTTTGCAGGAAATTTGTATTAGTAAATGAATCAAATAAAGAATCTTCATGGTTAAATGCATAGAAAGGATATTTGAAGAGAGCCAATGATTGACATAAGGAGAAGCAGTTATGAATTTTGAAATTGATATAAAGGAGAGGTCATTCATCACAGAAGATTTAATCCAAGTTTACAGGTAGGAGACTTGATCGGTTGATTTTTATCAATAGTCATAAATAAAAAAGATGTGGTACTATGATTGCCAATGAGACAACTATCCCTGAGAGTCCAAATATTGCAGATTTAAGCAATGGTATGTTTCTATGGCTTTCAACAATGAGCAAAACCCATACCATATCTTCAGCTATACATCTGCTTAGATATTGCTTGTTTAATTACTGGTATGTGGCAAATGTTTAATGCATATTCAAGATGATATAAAATGTTAATAGATGTAAATAACTTAAGTAGCTTCTAAAAATTTTGTAAAAATTGTTGGAGAGGGGAGGAACTATGGACAAAAGATAGGTGGTGGTGGCAATAAAATTTGCTTTGCAACAAACCATCTGCAGATTCTTCATATAAAAAGTTGTTACACAGGAGACGACCAGTTATTGAATAGAAATAGAAACATTTGCGTTCTTGTATTATCACTCAAATTTCCAGATCAGATCGAAATTTTTCTGTTAAATATATTGGTATGCAATCCTATACATGCTATAAGCATTTGCTCATCTCATTTCTATGGAAATTATATTGTACTGTTCCCTCATCATAGTTCATAATCTATGAAAAGTTAGTATCAGAAAAATGTAATTAAAAATTTAATATAGGTTCAAGTTTGTGCTTTATCCAGTTTAGAGGGAACCGCTTATAAATTTTAGTCAATGAATGGTAGTTTTGGTATAAAATTGTATAAGAATGATTAGCATTGGCATTTCTTGTCTTCATGGAAATTATTTAACCCTACATCTCAGTCTTAATTCATTGACATTGGCTATAGAATGTTTGCATTGTCACAAACAAAAAGAAGACATAGGTCTTATACTTCTTTGGCATTATGGTTTACATGTTTTATGAACAATTGCCATTTGAAATTCAGGAGTAACTTCAAGATATATTTGTTTTATTCATTTTCCATATTCTACATGGACTATTGGACTAATATTCATAAATTCCATATTTTACCTGGTATTATACTCATCAGTTTCTAGGGTCAATATTTTGACCCTACTGTATAGATTTGTATTTTACTGAAAAAACATATTGGCATAAAGGGACATAACTGATCATGAAGAATGGTAAAAGTGATGCTACCCAAATTTGTACTTGAACTGAGTTTTTTGGTAATAAGTATTGTGTATTATAACTTTCATACCATTTAGTTAAGGCAATCTAAAGTAAGAGAACTATATGACCTCAAATGCATTGATTGTTAAAAAAAGGGGGGGTTCCAACCCCAGCAACCCTCCCCTGGATCTGCCATAATGGGGCCTCGGTGGCTGAATGGTGTAAGTAGTGAAACTGCTGTATCACTAGCCTGTAAATAGATATAACAGTGATATCATACTTTAACTTTGTTTAAACCTGGGCCATAAAAAAGAATATGTGTGTTTGCCCTAACCCTACCTACCCAGAAAATAGCTGCCTACTCAAAATCTTTTATTGTCCTGATGTGAAACAGTTTTTTTTTAATTAGATAGGCATAAAGATTATAAAAAAACATCTGACACTTTAATTTCTCGTTGCCGAAAAAAGAAAAGAAAATGCCTACCTACCTACCCACTGTCTCTACCTTTGGGTAGGGTTTGGGCAAACCAAAATATTTTTAAGTGTGGCCCTGTTTATTTACTTTTGACTTTAATTATTTATCCCTTGTAATTTTTTATTAACTGTGTATTTGCATTCAGGTGTCACAGGTCAAATTTATTCGTTCATTATGTGTGAATTTACGTTTTTTAATTGAGTTAAGCCTTCCAATTGATATTTTATAGTGTGTTTTTCTATGTTGTGATATTATACTATTGTTTCAGAAAAGGGAGAAGGTTTGGTACCATTAAAACGTTTAATCCCGCTGCAAATGTTTGCACCTGTCCTAAGTCAGGAATCTGATTACAGTAGTTGTCATCTGTTTATGTAGTTCATACGTGTTTCTCGTTTCTCGTTTTAATATAGACTAGACCGTTGGTTTTTCCGTTTGAATGGTTTTACACTAGTAATTTTTTGGGGCCCTTTATAGCTTGCTGTTCGGTGTGAGCCAATGCTCCGTGTTGAAGGCCGTACCTTGACCTATAATGGTTTACTTTTATAAATTGTAACTTGGATGGAGAGTTGTCTCATTGGCACTCATACCACATCTTCCTATATCTATATAAGAAGTTATCCCTGGCTCAGTATACTTCTAGGATTTTGATTGTTTAACACACATGGTTTCAAAACCCATAGCCGCTGGGTGTTAATTTTTGCTAAACCATATACCGGGCACTTGAACGTTGCTACCCAGTTTTCCTTAATTCCATGGTTGTTCCTTGTGAAATATTGAATTCTGTATATTATTCATTATGTCTAACAATGTTAGTCTTTTATGCCAATCATTTGCACTCATTTTTGTCTCACCTTGACCGAGTCAAAAAGCGAGACATAGGTATGCTGTTTCCGGCGTCGGCGGCGTCAACAATGTATTAGTTTGTGATTAGGTCTAGTTCATGGTGAACCACTAGTGGAGGGTCAATGATATTTGGTATGCTGATGTATTAGCATTGGCACATCTCATTACCATGGAGATTATTTGGCCCCGCCCCCTCAGTCAAGGTCTATTGACTTTGAAACTTTTCATTATAAGTTTACATGTATTAGTTTGTGATTAGGTCAATTTATGGGGTACCAGTAGTGGTAGGTCAATGATATTTGGTATGCAGTTGTATAAGCATTGGCATATCTCATTTCCATGGAAATTATTTGGCTCCGCCCCCTTAGTCATGGTCTATAGACTTTGAGAATTTTGCTATGTTAACATGTATTACATTGTAGTTTGTGATTAAGTCAGTTCAAGGGTAACCATTAGTGGTAGGCCAATGTTAATTGGTGTTCAGTTGTATAAGCATTAGCACATCTCATTTCCATGGAGAATATTTGGCCCCGCCCCCTCAGTCATGGTCTATTGACTTTGAAACTTTTGCTTAGTTTACATGTATTAGTTTGTGATTAGATCAGTTTAAGATGAACTGCTAATGTTAAGTCAATGATATTTGGTATGCAAATGTATTGGCATTTGCAAGTATTGTTTCCATGGAGATTATATAGCCCCATCCCTGATCATGGTTCATTGACTTTGAAACTTTTACATAGTTTACAAGTTAATGTTTGTTTTAAGTTTGTTTAAAGGGAACACCTTATAATAAGTCAATGGTATTTGGTATGCAGTTGTATTAGCATTGGCACATCTCATTCCATGGAGATTGTTTAGCCATGTACCTTCAGTCATGGTTCATTGACTTTGAATATTTGCATAACTTACATGTTAAAGTATTGCTATTTTAATTTCAACATTTGCATTATCAAAATTACAAAAAGGCGAGACATATCTCTGTGAAAACAGTTTATTAGTAAATGCATCGCTTGGCTGCCACATTCAGTGGCGTAGCTACCTAAGGCTCGACTAGGCATGTGCCTATACATAAATTTGCCAATTATATACCCCTTTGGGATAAAAAAAAAATACACATTGTAATTAATTCTAATGCGTATTATTATTTATACGGTGCCCGTCCATATTCAAACACCGATCTGTACCCTTCGGTGCATAGGATTATTTTGATTTTATTGACAATGCCCGTTTCATCGGCAACTAGTGAAAGATCCTTCAGTGCGATGCGACAAATCAAGTCCTACCTGAGATCGGAGATGAGCGACTTTCTAATCTATCCCTTCTTCATACCCACCCACACCTCAATGTTGATGTTGATGAGAGTATATTACTGATATTATTGGCAGAAAAAAAACGTTGACTTGACTTTGAATAAGTGTATCATTGACTTTGTGTATGAAACTGGATCTGAAAGTTATTCATAATTAAAAGTTCAGAAATTTTAGATTTGTTTAACCAATTTTTCACCAATGAGTTAAAAGATTCGTTCGAAAAAGTTGAAAATCGTTTCCCTTCACCCTCTGTGGGCCTTAAGCTTAAAATAGTCCAAATAAATTTTCGCCTCGCTCTCTGCACGCTAATAACACTTGCAACAACTCTTTGAGGGGTCTGCTGAAAGGCAAAATATCTGTCCCTATCCAATAAAGATCAATAAACCCTAATTTTCCAATGGCATTTTCAAAAGTTCAGACCTTCATCCTGGACAACCCCTATTACAGGACCTAGTGGCTAACTGTTGTATTTACTAGTATCGTAAATTTGTTTTTGTCCTGATCATGCAAAACTATTTGCCACTGGATGTTTAGCAATAAATCAATCAACTATCTTCCAGTAATCTCAGGTCTGCGTGTAATGACCACATTAATTCAAATTCCTAAGCAGGTAGGGATTTTACAGTAGAGGATATAAGAAAATATGAATTTCTTGAATATTGTTACGATAGTATGAACAGAACAGAACTTCTGCATTAGGCATCGACTGTGTGTGTGTTTGTGTGGCTGGGGTGAAGGTTTAAGAATCAAAAGATCAACAATGGTTCAATGCAATGGTTCAGGTTGTTGTCTACCCCAAAGCATAGTATTATTATATAGTAATCTCGGTGTTTACATGCCCGAAGGGCCAAGTGAGCTTTTCTCATCACTTGGCGTCCGTCGTCTGTTGTCCGTTGTCAGTAAACTTTTACAAAAATCTTCTCCTCTGAAACTACTAGTCCAAATTTAACCAAACTTGGCCACAATCATCATTGGGGTATCTAGTTTAAAAAATGTGTGCGATGACACGGCCAACTAACCAAGATGGCCGCCATGGCTAAAAATAGAACATAGGGGTAAAATGTAGATTTTGGCTTATATCTCTGAAACCAAAGCATTAAGGGCAAATCTGACGGGGTAAAACTGTTTATCAGGTCAAGATCTATCTGCCCTGAAATTTTCAGACAAATCGGACACCCTGTTGTTGGGTTGCTGCCCCCGATTTAGTAATTTTAAGGAAATTTTGCAGTTTTTGGTTATAATCTTGAATATTATTATAGATAGAGATAAACTGAAAAC